GTATAGAATTTGTGGTAGTCATTCGACATATTTCGAATAACATTCGTTGCTATTCATTTGATATGAATATATAAATCCAACGAAGCCTATATATAATCTAACTACACTTTAGCAATGAGTCACAGATTCCTTTTATTGATTTATTAGGTCACACATTGAAATATGTTTTTTGGAGTGATAACATATTGGGTATATTACTGAACATGCATTACGTAGAGATAAATCTATATTCCATTGATAACAAAGATGTTTTTAGTTTTAGTAGTTTTAATATGTTTCCATTATTTTATTTATAAGCCACATCCAAGCTTTTTATTGCTGTAGTTTAACTAATTTGACTGGTATAGTAAATTACATTAGAGTTTATATTTCATAAAGAACTCAAGGGTAGGGTTTTGAGCTCTGTTATTAAGTTAAAAGCATAGTTTCTTCAACAGAATTAATAATAGAAATTTTTTCAGCTAGTCAGCAGCTGTAGTGCACCGTTGAAATAAGTCAATATAAAATATTGGTCCATTGCAATAGGTACCAAAATTATATATTTATCAATGCCACGGTAATCCAACCACCGAACCCTATAATTCAAAAATATTAAAAGTGTTTTCATCTGCCAGCATTTTAATGGTGAGATTGAATCTCTGCAACGCAAGGAATCCAACCATCGGTAATACAACATTTCAAATAATAACCCGGCTAAAGTACTAACGAAACTAAATAAGACCACACACCTTCTTGAGTGTATCTGCAAAGTCACAAAGATCTGCAAAGTCACAAAGATGACCGAGAAACTCATCTGTAAAACCAACACGTGATAAAGAAAAAGGAACAATTTTCTCGCTAAAGTGTTTCAGCATAGTTTGACCAAAACCCGGAGTCAAACAATTATTTAGAAATTGTTGAGATTTCGGTAGGAGTTCAAATAAAACTCTCTATTTGATGCCTATACCAGTCGGTGTCATGGGACAGCTCTAAGACTATAAGATTATTTGGATCTGTTACTAACAAACCCATTTCGACTATCATCGTCAAGAACTAGAATGATTTTTAAAATAGGAAAGATTTAAAAGACGGTATCACAATAATAAACCACAGAGATAGGTTAGCTTAGATTGTAGTGACGCTCTTGTGACCAATGCTCATTTAAGCTCAAATAATGTCCCGTTGTGGTACCATGGGATTAGCGTTTGTACATGCACCGACAAGAATTCAGCATACGAGCAACATGGAAAGACACGATTCCTCCATTTGGTAAAAACAAACCATTCGGACAATTCTTTAAACTTGGCTGACTCTTATTTTGCAGGATGAAGCTCTATTAGGTCATTAAGAAAAGAGGTCCTGAAGATTTTAAATCTTCTTCTAGCTAAATATGGGAATTGATACATAAAATGGAGCGCAATTTCCTGCTTATCTGCAAAGCCACAACCTCGACAAAATTCATTAGCATGATTTGCATTATTTCCTATTACGCAGTGAACTGTCAGCGCTGATACCGTAGAACTGAGCAAGTTAAGCTTTAATTGAAACAGCTGGCTGGTGCACTTTTTATCTAGTTTCGATCAGTTCAATGTGAAAATCTGACAACAAGGTTCATCTATTCAATCTTGCTTGGCTGAGATTTTTTTGTTCGATTGCCAGCTTAATTGCTACTAGCGGGACACCAATATATGGAAAGTGAATGTCAAGAAGCAGTGTGGCATTCCTATGCAAACTCATCTGCTCTACAGTTCTCGGAAATGTCCACACCGTCAAAATTATATATTTTACTTAGGATGCATAAAG